CTGTCTCACGTCTGTCCAGTAGAGGGTCCTCCTCTCTCTGTCCTGCCCTGAGCCAGCTGAATCTTCGGTGCTTTACAGGGGCAGAGCCTCCTTTTCAGTGTTCACCTCCTTTGTTCTGGTCCCACTGACCCCCAGAGGCGAGGTGCCTGTCTCCAAACTCCTTTGCGCAGTCCCAGGAAGTGTCCACTGAGACCGGTCCCTTCCTCGCTCAGTGCGGTCCTAGCACAGAGCACGGAGGAGTGCAAAATGTTTCTCGCTATTGTCTCTTCTCCACAGAACCTGCCATTCCGTGCCACAGCTTTGCACTGACTTCAGGCACTTCCCTACCTGAGTGGGTGTGGGGGTCAGTGGAGGAACCAGGTGTCCTCCTGTGGGTCAGATCATACTGCTCTGGCTGGCCAGGTGGGTGCAGCCGTCCTATGCTCTGTTCTCTATTGTTTATCTCACACTCTCCAGACTTTGTGATCGTTTCTCCCATTCACCTCTTTTTTTCCCTCAACGCTGCTTCTCCGGCATTGCTTCTCTGCAGATTCACAATGATGTTCTTGGAGGGGAGCAATCCACTAATGTGTAACCGTCTCAGTTCTTCACCTCCTACTCTGGGAGCAGAAAGCCAGGAGGTCACCACTAATCTGCCATTTTTTCTCCTCACTGTTAGTTTTTTGAGCATTGTTCTAATCTATGTATTTCAATTGGGAAATTTAGTCCATTTATATATTGGGAAGGACCTTTCTCTTGCCATTTTTTTCATTATTTTTTATACGTCTTATAGTTTTTCTCCTCTCATTTCCTCTTTTATTGCCTTTGTGTTTAGTTGATTTCCTGTAATGATACATTTTTTTTCCCTTCTCATTTCTTTTTGTGTACATTCTATAGATATTTTCTTTGTGGTTACCATGGAGATAACATAACACATTCTAAAGTTGTAGCAATCTTATTTTAAACTGATAGCAACTCCAATCGTGTATAAGGACTCCTTTATAGCTCCCCCCACTTTGTGTTATTGTTGTCACAAACTATATATTAAATTTTATATACCTTTTAACATGGATTTATAGTAATTTTTATACTTTTGTCCTTTAAATCAGCAGTTCCCAACCTTTTTGGCACCAGGGACCGTTTTCATGGAAGACAATTTTTCCACGGACCAGGTGGTGTGGGGGAGATTGTTTCAGGATGATTCAAGCACATTTATTGTGCATTTTATTTCTATTGTTATTACATTGTAATATATAATGAAATAATTATACAGTTCACCATTGGTTGGGGACCCCTGCTTTACTTCCTGTTAAAATTAAAAGTGGAGTTATGAACCTAAATTACAATAATACAGGCCTTTATATTTGCCATATATGTACATTTACTGGAGAACTTAGTATTTCCATATGGCTTTCAGTTATTGTCTAGTATCCTATTTCAACTAGGATTCCCTTTAGCATTTTCTAGGGCAGATACAGTGGTAATGAACTCCCTTGGCTTTTACCTGGGAATATCTTAACTTTTTCTTCATTTTTGAAGGACAGTTTTGCTGAATATATTTTTCTTACTTTTTTGTTTCTTTCAGCACTTTAAATATATCATCTTACTGCTCTGGCCTGCAAGGTTTCTGCTGAGAAATCCACTGATAGATAATCTTACAGATGCTGCCTTGCATGTGACAAGTCATTTTCTCTTGTTGCTACCGAGATTTTCTCTTTGTGTTTGACTTTTGATTATAATGCGTCTTGCTGTGGGTCTTTTGGTTTATCTTACTTGGAGTTCACGGAGCCTTTTCTATTTGTGTATCTATTTCTTTACTTAAATTTGGGAAGTTTTCAGCTATTATTTCTTCAGATAAGCCTCTTGCCCCATTCCTTCTTCTAAGATTACAGTGTTGTACATATTGGTTCACTTGATGGTATCCTATAAGTTCATTAGCCTCTATTCACTTTTCTTTTTGATCCTCTGACATGATTATTTCAGATGACCTGTCTGGAAGTTTGCTGATTCTTCTACTTATTTGAGTCTGCCGTTGAACACTTCAAGTGAATTTTTCATTCAGTTATTGTATTTTTCAGTTTCAGAATTTTTTTTAATAATTGCCTTGTTGGTATTCTCATTTTATTCATATATAATTTTCCTAATTTCATTTAGTTGTCTGTCAGTAGTCTTCTTCAGCTCATGGAGCATATTTAAGATAACTGTTTTAAAGTCTTTGTCAAATAAGTCAGGGGCCTTTGTTCCTTAGGGGTCAGTTTCTGGAGATTTGTTTTGGTCCTTTGAATGGTCCACGTTTCCTTGTTTCTTTGTATGTTTTGTGATGGTATGTCGAAAATGGGCATTTGAAATAACAGCCAGTTCTCCCAGTCTTGGGGCTATGCGCAGGGGAAGACCTTTACTAACCAGCATGGCGTAAGGGCTCAGGATCCTCTCAAACCTTTTCTGGGGATGTGTCTCCCCTGGGCCTATGCGTGTGCTTTAATCCCAGTTTTCTGTACCTATAGCTGCTTTTAAATGTCCTAATTTCTCTAAAAGTCTCACCCCTGCTTCTCAGGGCTTTAGATGCTGTATTATATTCCTCTACCCAATAATCTTGTCCCCTGGTTCCTGCAGTTCTACAGACTCCTTGCACCTCTCACATGCAGCAGTCTCCCAACCTGATATCCAAATGATTCCACTATTCCCATCAGTGCTGAGTCAAGTAAAACAGATACCAGTCTCTGAGGAAGGCCCCAGAAAAGCCAGAATGTTGGAAGCAAGTTCCACTCTTTTCTTTCCATTGCAAGGGAGGAGCTGGGAACTGTGTGGCCAGTGGCTTCCTCCTGACCATGCCATGCCAGCAAGGATGGATGTGGGGAAAGGGTAAGCAAAAACATCATGACATTTCCTACCATTTTCAGTGTGTTTCTTTTTTAGGTGTTCCCTTGGTTGCTTCTGCTGCCTACGTGGTTTCTAGAGTTCTCACAAGGCTACCCTGGTCTGTATATTGTATATGTGGTATTTTAGTGAGGGAGCAAGGGCCTGGAGCTTCCTAATACCTTATCATACCGACATTACTGCCTCTTTAAAAAAAGAATTCTATATTTGTGTCTACATAGATTCAGCTTGCTTTCTGGAATCATTTTCTTTTTGTATGAAAGACTTCCTTTAACATTTCAATATGGATCTCTCTGTACTTAATAACTTCTACTGACCTGTCTTAACATTTCTGGATTGTCCAAATTGCTGCAGAGCTTATCTAGGAAACTTTAACCAAGATTACAAACTTTGTCTCCCTTGTGAATGAATTCTCTGCTCAGCAATTTAGACCATAGCTATTCCCTTTCTCAGGTTCCTAGGAATCTCACTGTGTAAATGATACTTAAGTATCTGCCAAGGATTTGAGCAAAATATGTATGCATATTTCGAAGGCTCCCTTTTTCTAAGATATCCTACCTGGAAATTTGTGCCACCCTGGCAGCTCTGCTTTCTCACTCCTCAGCTCAATAAGACTACTACTTTTTGCTTAAGTTGTAGCCCCTGTGATCCCATAAAATAGAAAGTGCTCTCATGAGAAGCTATGCCTCTGTTCTTTCAAGGATCATATCGCTTTCAGTTTCTGCTTACTATTGATTATTTATTTATGCCTTCAAATATATTTTTAAAATTATGTCCAGAGTTTATATTTGTTACTGTCAGAGAATTGGCCCAATATAAGCTACTTTGCGATTACTGGAATTATAACAAACAATTTTTTAAATGAGGGAGACCTGAGTAATTTAGTAATGCAAAGGGATTTTTATCTACAAAAAATTTTAAATTTCCATTTTAAAACAGTACTTTTTATAATTCTTTCCATTAAGACTGCATATCAAAGAATATATGGAACTTTTCCTTTTATAGGATATAACAAATGAAGAACACAAAAAAATTGAAGTCTTAAAATCAGAAAACAAGAAGCTAGAAAAACAAAAAGGAGAATTAATGATAGGATTCAAGAAACAATTAAAATTAATTGATGTTTTAAAAAAGCAGAAGGTGAGTCTACCCTTTAAAAAATTAAATCATAGATATATTTAGTATTTTTACTTTAGGTATGTTTAATTTTTATTCTGACATCCTTAGACAAAACTTTATAAAATGCATCATATGAAACCTAACATATAATAAGATTTATACATAATGTGTTATCTAAGGCAGTAGATATTTTCTTCTAAGTGAATTAATGTGGAAAATGGGAATAGGAAACACATATGGGTACTTTCCGACTACAGAAAGCACTGTATACATGTATGACTATTATCTTAGAGTACTCTTTGCCTCATCAAACCTTAGAGTCAACATTGATATTGTTCCTTTCTCTAAACATGGGTATAACAGAACTTACATTTTGATAGCATATTATCCATACACATATTTCCTGTTATTTTGTATCCAAGTCTTAATACTAAATAAGACTATTGATTTTTTTTTTTTTAAACACAGATGCATATTGAAGCTGCCAAGATGCTATCTTTCACTGAAGAGGAATTTATGAAGGCACTTGAATGGGAAAATTCATAAATGATCTACTTCAATTAGTCTCTATGACTGTGTGATGGATATTCATTTTACTTAAGTTGAATGATTTTTACTCTTCATAATTAATGAAGACATTTGATTAGGAAATCAAAACTCTTCTGATATGTAATTATTAGAAAAAGGAGATATTTTGTAAAAGCAAAAAGAATTTGATGCTGGTATCTTTCTTACGACATACTAGCCCTTCTTTTGAGTTTTTACAACTACACTTAAATATTTTATGTTATGGAGAAATTCTATTTTTAAGTTTTTAATGTGACAATAATCAACATTTAGGTAATAAAGCACTTTGAAATTCCTCACTTTCTTATTTCCCTGGCCAAATCAAGGAAGTAAAGTTCCTAGACATAGAAGGTTTTGGCTAGAAGTCCGTATTAGTCAAGGTGAATGAACAGTAGGAGGGGTATGGAAAAAGTAGCCTCCTGGGTTTGGCCTATAACATATTTATATATATGGAATATTGTAATGTGGTATTACAGAATTCAGATTTTCAAATTATCAGTACAAAAATAAGCGACTAAAATTAATTTTGTAAATATTCATAACTCCTTACAAATTATGAAATTCAGTAATGTTTTAGACAATGGAATCCTGTCGCTGAACTATTAAAAGTTATGCTGACATCTAGTGGTAACATACAAAAGATCCAGATTTTACCCAATCTTGAGATATTACTTCTCTTCACAAATTTCACTCCTTTTCTGATATGCTTTCCTGAACTCTTCACCAAGCAGATCAATATCATCCTCTTTTTTAAATACTCCCTACAAGAAAAATATTTTGTTGGTTACTTTTGAATGCCAGAATATTTCACTAAATGCTTAAAGACTGACAAAGTTATCTCCAAGATAACAAAATCTATTGAATAGATTTATGAAAGTTTTAAATTAAAAATATTTTCCAAAAATTTCAACTTGATATATATATATATACTTAATATTCTTAGACTGACCCAATTTCCTAATTTATCAGCTTCAGTGTAGCAACTTGTTGTAGGAAGCTGGGCTCCTCTATTTTACTACAAGTAAAGTACTATTATAAGTACTACTGCATGGAGTGCCTGGATAGGAAGGAATTTATATTATACCATACCCTTATCTTAAAACAGCTCTGTAATATTATGAGGGAGGTAAGGGGTGAAGAGACTTCACACATGGAATTGGTTTTATCATGCCCTAGTTCTATGGCTAATCAGAAAACATTGAATTTTCCAGGAAAGAATCCAGGTTTGGAGTTCAGCCATTTAAGCAAGCCCTTTGGAATTCTTCACTGTTCTATTTGTTTTTATTTTCTCCTATAGTATACAGCAAAAGGCTCCTTAAAATAAAACATTTACTTATCTTGCAATCTAAAGGATTTAAAGGATAGTTTAGGTCATTTGGGGCCATTTAGGATCTAAAGGCTAAAGGTCATTTTTGAGTATCAGGTTTATTAAGTGCTCCTCCTGCCTCCACAATCATTTCCCCTACAAAAATATCAAATCCTAAAGAATCTCCTAGAATTTATAATCTATTTTATGAAATTTATCAATTACATATGTAGTTTATCATTAATACATCATTTTATATTCATTAATTTTGTTTAACCAATTAGACTATAAGGTCCTGTGGCTAGCCAATAATTAGTCATATATATCTTCTTCCTTAGCACCAGACTGAACACAAAATATGCACTCAAACCAAATTAATAAAATAATCAAATGGGGTGATTTCTATATTTGAAGGATGGTGCTTTTTTTCTGTATAAGTCCAGATGTCTATGTGGCCTATGCAACTCAATTATTTATAGTCTCATACACAAGAAAATTCTCTATCTTCTGGAATTTTAAAAATCAAGTTTACCTAGTATCTAATTATAGCCTCAAGCAAATCTGTCTCAGACTCAATTCAAGCATGTGCCTATGTTTATTCTTGTCTTTTGTATATCAAGTATTAATATTACAGCTGCTCTTGGGTAGTTTTAGACTTCCTACACTGAAAGAGGAGAAAAGAACCTCTAAAATATAAATTCAGGAAATCAAGTTCATACCTCTAATAATGTGTGAAGACCAACTCTCATTTTAGAGATTTTTAAATGGGCCCAGAGAGGATGAATCCCTGTCCAAGAGCCCACTGCTGCTTGATAACAGAGCAAGAAATGAGCAAAACCTAGGCCCTCTGAAATTCAAATACCATGCTTTTTTCACTATTAGATCACGAAGATTATGCCTTCAGATAAATCCCACTTACTTTAGGGAGATAGCCTAGTAATTTTGTAGCATGCTCTTTGAGAAGTTTTAGCCTTTCTTCTTCAATAATTGCATTAATACATCCTTGTCTTTTCTGCTGCAACTGCCATTCTTCCAATTCACGTTGCTAGAAGTATAAATGAAATTTGATTATCACAAAATATATTATCTTTTAAGAAGCTTTCAAGTAAAACTATTCATGCAATGAATTAGATGATAAAATTGGACTATTTATGACACAAGTTGAAAAGATACTAGATAGCATATATCTTTTATATATTACTGTATTTTATATGTATAATACACCTATATTTTTTACCATCATTATTCCTTTAAAATTACAAGAATAATAGTAATGACTGGGATTTTAGGGAGGAAAGTATATATTTTCAGGAAAATGTCTTCATTACCAAGGGAAAAAATATTCAAAGGAATGCCTAATAAGTTCAACAAACATTTATTGAATGCTTTCCATATACCAGATGCTGAAGAGTTGTTTACAGTGTAAGACAAAAAAATTATTATAGTAAATAAAACAGAATAGGGATATATATCTAAAGGATAAATATTTTCATATACATATATTTAAAGACTGTATGAAGCACAAGAGGAGCAGTAAGAGTTCTTGGAGCAAAAGTGTCATCATGGCAGCTTCCAGGAAGCAATCTATGTACATCCTTTATCCCTTCTTCACTTCTCTCTGCTGCTTGAAACATGGCTACAGATCCAACATAGACAATGAAGAGAGGGCTATACCCTATAGATGTCACAGTGAAAAGCTAGAAAGAGCCTGAGTTCCTGAAGACTATGGAACAGAGCCCTCCTTTCCTGCCCTGACCTACCTATCTGTAGACTTTTATGTAAGAGAACAGTAAACTATCTATTACACCACTGTTAAGTTGAGACTATGTAAGTACAGCCAAACCTAATCCTAATTGATCCATTCCTTATACAGGAGAGATGCCAAGAAAGCTTTGTAATGTCACACTTGTTAGATTTTTGTTCAACGATGTAGAGTCTCTAATTGGGGCATAATACGGGATTTCCCTTCTTAAGATCTGGTAGGCCACATTAAATGTTTGTTTATCCTAAAAATTTATAGTAAAATAGAGTAAATTGTTAAACCTATTTATCCATTTAGGACAAATTCTGAACAGCTCTGGTGGTAAGAAACTATCTCCTAGAGAGTTTCAGATTTTGCCTGACCATATGATTTTTTTAAGAGGTAGGTAGAATAATATGAGTTCCATTACCACGAAGATCTATCCTTGCTTTGGGGCTAGAACAAAAGTGTTGCCCAATCTTACACTTAAACCTAAGCCCACAGCTTCACATTGGCAATGTTTATAAATTTTAAAAAATTAAGACATAAGTTATTTGTATAAGTATCTGTGCATTAGGTGGCTTTATCTGATTTCCATTTATAGTTGTCTTGATAACTTTTCTAGGAACTTTCTCCCATCCAAGTACTAACCAGGACCAACCCCGCTTAGCTTCTAGGGGCTTTCTTATTAGCTCTGTAAGCCATGAGATAGTCAGTCACTGGTTCTACCTTTCTATAGGCAAGAAGTATTCAAACCTGGTTAATATCAAGCCTTTTAATTTTGTGCTTCCTTGATTACTGTGCTCTGTGTGATATGGTTGATCACCTTCATTGATTTAACAAAGTATTTACCACATGCCAGGCAAAGTGCTAAGTGCTTTATAGAGAAGTATCTCCCTTACAGGCTAGAGTTAGATCGTGATTGGTTTATATCAAAGCTAAGGAATTAAGATTTTATCCTGTAGGAGTCCACTGAGATTTAGGTAGGAAGGGGACATAATGAGTTTTTTTAAACCCTAGTAACTGGTGCAGATGGACTACAGTCATAAGAACATTTAGAAGACAAATTTGGTAGGGTATAGGAATGCTACTGAATGTCTGAACTAAGTTATGAAGAAGAGAAGCTGAATTTAAGAGTTCTTGCTAAAGTGGAATAAATAGGATTTGGTGGCTGACTAAAAATCATTAAATAAGAGGGAGGAAAAATCCAGGAATGATTCCAAGGTGATGGGATTGGGTGACTGAATATATTGTCTTTAACCAAGATTCAGGCTACCAGAATTAAAAAGCTTTGTCTGGTTATGTTCACCTTTGGAAAGCTAAATCCTAAGGCACTCACAAGCTTTCTAACTATGTCCTTTAGGCATCTGGAAATATGGCAATACAATTATGGCATTAGTTGGATAAGAATAGAGGACCCAAGTACCCCAACATTTTATGGAGCTGATCTCTCTTGGTTTTCTGTGACTATACCACCCAGATTCTCTTACCTTTTTGACCATTTCTTGGTCCTGTTGGGTTTTTTCCTCCTCCTTCTACATCCTAAATGAAAACGTTCTCCAAGACTCAGTCAATGGCCCTCAGGTTGTTTCTCATTATAACATATTCTTTGAAGGAATCATCTTAGCTTGAATCTTTGTGCTACTTTATTTCAGATATGCATTTCTAAGAAAACTTAACCTACGCTTCATTCTTCAGTTCAGCTGCCTTCAGGATATTTTCAACTTGCATTTCTATTTCAAACTCACCATGCCTAAAACCAAAGTTCTTTTATCTTTTTGCTCCAGCTTGAAATATAACAGCACCTGTATTCTTTTAGTTTCTCAAATTTGAAACCTTGCATTATTTTGACTCCCTCCACTCAACTCTATATGGTTTAAAAAAGTCACACAAGTCTCATCTATTTTTCCTTTAAAAATATTTATATTCTTCTCTTTCTCTCTTCTCCTACTGCTGTTTATAGCCTATTCCAGTTCATCACCTCACTCGTGATTAGTATTTTTTCCTCTTGTTCAAGACCACATGTTCAATACCATCTTAATCAATTTCCTACTATATCACGTCTAAACTCCTCTGCCAAACATTCCAGTTTTCCTATGTAGTATGATTCCACATGCTACCAATTTAGAATAGCGCCCCCCCTTCTCCTTTTATTCTCTCTTATGTATTTCCAGGTAAACCCACATAGTTCTGCTATAAATGTATTGCACAATTAGTAAGTTGCATACTACCAAATTCTATAAATGTTTACACTGTACATTTAAAAAAATGTATTCTTAGTATATCATGGAGTTTTATGTATAATCCAGTCTTTTGGGTACCTATAATCCTATTTTCCGCACCAATCAGAAGCTACCAGAATGAGCTTTTGTTTTGGTTTCCTCACCAACACACAGCAGAATGTCTAGCAGGTCAGCATCTGTTGATTACAAGAATATCCTGAGAATTCTTTTTGTCTACCCATGGAGGAAAAGACTGGCATAATGATATTAATTAATTTATTAACCCCAGCTCTGCCACTATTTACTGTGAAACCTTGGGCAACACAATCTCTCTATGCCTCAGTTTTCGCATCCTTAAGATGGGAATAGCAATAGTACCTAACTCAAAAGTTTGAAAGTTAAAAGTTATTGCTTTGCTTATAATGAGATCAGAATAGTGAATGACATATATAAATGATCAATAAACATTAGTTATCATTACTACCACTTCTATTACTTAAAAGTATTTACCATATGCCTAAATTGTACTCTTCATATTTAGAGCTCTTTTCTTTTTAAAGCATTTACCTATTACCTCACTTAGTTCTTAAACCACAAAAATCTAGTAAGACAGATTATGGATGAAATATAAGTAGATAAATCAACGTGTCCAAAGTCACAAGCCTCATTCCCACTCCAACTCTTTTTTTTTTTTTTTTTTGTGAGACAGAGTCTCACTCTGTTGCCTGGGCTAGAGTGCCGTGGCGTCAGCCTAGCTCACAGCAACCTCAAACTCCTGGGCTCAAGCAATCCTGCCTCAGCCTCCTGAGTAGCTGGGACTACAGGCATATGCCACCATGCCCGGCTAATTTTTTCTATATATTTTTAGTTGTCCAGCTAATTTCTATTTTTTTAGTAGAGACGCGGTCTTGCTGTTGCTCAGGCTGGTCTCGAACTCTTGAGGTCAGACGATCCTCCTACCTCAGCCTCCCAGAATGCTAGGATTACAGGCGTGAGCCACCATGCCTGGCCCCACTCCAACTCTTAAATCCACATTTCCAGCTAGAAATCTTCCCCAGGGCCTCAAAATAAATGTGGACAAAATGGAATTATTTATTCCCTCAAAACCTATTATTTCTTCCTATATACTCTTTCTTTAGGACATCATCCACTCACTTAGTAAAGATGGAAATTATAGTATTATTTATTAGTAGTAGCCTTAAGTCTCTGGCCTCTTCAGATCTTATTGGTCACCAATCCCCATCTATTCTATATCCTTAACATCTCTCAGATCTCTTCTCCATTTGTGTGGGTTTCACCACATATCACTGGGATTATTGTAATAACTTCCTTACTGGTCTCCCTACCTCCAATCTTACTCCTCTCATATCTACCCTCAATGCTGTTACTTGAGTCATCTTTCAAAATGCAGATCTTAACATGTAGCTTTCCTAATTCTTCAGTGGCTTCCCTTGGAAAAATCCCACTTTCTCAGAATACCATCAGGGCATTCGTGATCTGTCTCTCCTCTCTGCCATATCAAACATCCATACTTGTATGACTGTTATCACATGCATGACATATATTTACAATTACTTTTTATATTTTCTTAATCAAGACCATAAATTCATAGATGACATGGATTTAGCTGTATTTACCTTTATGTTCTAAATACCAACCAGTGTGTAGCATATAGAAAGCATCAATAAATATTCTCTAGATGTATTAACAAATGATTGGCCAGAAAATCTGTATCTCATGATTAATAAATTGCTATCTAACATTGTCTGGCATGTAAAAGATTTTCAGTAACTGTTTAGTGGGTGATACTCGATAAGCCAGATGCTGTTTAATGACAAAAAAAAAAAAAATCCAAAAAAAACACTTTTTTCTTACTTTGTCTGCAAGAAACTGGTTGCGACGCTCCTCAATAAGTTTTTCCACAGCCTTCCTGTGTTCCAGCTGCTTCATTCTTTGTTTCTGAGCATTCATTAATTCTATTCGATCATCCTCAGCAAGTTTAGCTAGCATGGTTTTTCTAAAGATCTCCTCTTCCTCTTTTGCAGCCTGTAGCACTAATTCCTTCAGGGCCATTTGTTCTTCAAAATCTTGCTTCATCGCTTTTTGCTTTCTCAATTTCTCTTCTGCTTCTTCCTAAACACCAATACAGCTAAGAGTTAAGTCAGTAAACCATTTCCTTACATCGGATTTATAAAGAAAGGGTGGGGTAGTTTGGTTAACCATAGCATTACAACACGAGATCATGCACGCTGAAAAATTAAGGCTTTACGTGATAACACTTTGCCCCATCCTTTTAAAACTAGCTGGATAAAGGACATATTGCCTTTGGATTGTCTTCTATTAGTCATTTAAAAATTTTAATTTGTATATATTTGCCATCTTATTTCTGTAGTCAGAATTAACATATAACTACTTTAAAAAACACCTGATATAAGAACTTTTTGCACACCTGAGTTTTTTAATCCAAAGTATGTGAAATTTGTACCAACTATAAAATATTCAAGAATTTTGCCTCAGACAGCTTTCCAAACCACTAAGTATTTTTCAATTTCCAATTTCCTCCCTTTATGAAATCAGAGCTGCATTTAGCCATCTCTAGTCTTCTAATATTCCTTCCATTCTCTAAAATTCTCTAAAATTTAATATTCTAGCAATGACAATCAGAACTTTTTCAGGGAAATTGAAATTTTCTTGGTACAATTAAAGTCCTTTCCTATAAGATTTTATTTTCTAAGCATTTTATCATGAAAAATTTCAAACATACCAAAAATATAATTTTACAGTGATCTTCATATACTTAATACCTAGATTCTACCAATAACATTTTACTCTTCTTGTTTCATCAACTATATTCAATTAGGACTAATGAAAATTTTAAATCCTCTAATCTAACCAAACTTGCTACGATAGTTTAGATGTTTCTCCCCTCCAAACCTCATGTTGAAATTTGATCCCAATGTTGGAGGTGGGGCCTAATAGGAAGTGTTTGGGTCATGAGGACAGATCCCTCATGAATGGCTTGGTGCTGTCCTCACAGTAATGAGTGAGTTCTCACTCTGTTAGTTCCTGTGAGAACTGGTTGTTAAAAAGAGGCTGCCACTTCTCTTCTGTTACTTCCTCTCTTGCCATGTGATCTCTGTATAAGCCAGCTGCTCTCCAACTTCCGTCATGAGCAGAAGCAGTATGAGGCCCTCACCAGATGCAGATGCCAAAACCATGCTTCTTGCACAGCCTGTAGAACCATGAACCAAATAAACCTCTCTTCTTTATAAATCACCCAGCTGCAGGTATTATGTATTCTTTTATAGCAACACAAATGGACTAAGACATCTGACTAGAACTCAGCCTCCTGAGTAGCCAGGACTATAGATGCACACCACCACGCCTGACTAACTTGTCCAATTCTAACAAAAGCGCCAGGCAGGCTGATATCCTCAAGGCATCCAAAATATTGCCTTAACACCTCTATTGGTCAGGGTTCTTACAGATAACAGAGACTATAAGGGATTTACTACAGGCCATTAGGTGGCATATAGAAGTTGAAGGAGAGCCAGGGAACCAAGATGCTATCTCACTGCTCAAACCCCATGGTGATAACTCTACCAAAGCTACCCCAAATGATCTGATCTTTCTATGTAAAGGACCTATCTCATTTTGCTCGATTCCATCTTCACACATTGAAGGTGGGTAAACATCTGTTGGAGATAACCAAGGTTGTATGAAGAACCCTAGCTAAAAGAAGAGAAACATAGTTTTAACTTTATAGTCTCTATAATATAGTAAGACAATGTTTTTAAAAGGTGGGAGTAGGAGTGGGTAAGTGAGCCAATTTGCAGCATCAGCTATATCAACTTTGTTCATTATATTCTATATTGCATATTTAACTGATTCTTCATTACCCTAAATTGAATCCCCTTTTAAATCCTACCTCCTCCATAAAGTCTTCTCCCAATCACTCATCTCTTTCTGACCTCTTAATTAAATAGCATTAATTTCTCCATCACTTAATTTTATTTCATGTGTACATGCCTTATCTCCTCACTGAAAATAAATTCCCAGAGATCTTGTTTTTCTTTGGGAAGCTGAGCACATAGTGCTTCTATAATACATATTTTGTGTTTATTTGCCATGTACTGTTGGCCCTCTGTGTCTGTGAATTCTGCATCTGCAGATTCAACAAACTGTGGACCAAAGATATTTTTTAAAAATAAAAAATACATATATAATAAAAAATAATACAATAAAAAAATACAGTATAACAACTATTTACATGGCATTTACATTGTATTAGGTATTATAAATAATCTAGAGATGACTTAAAGTATATGAGAGGATGTGCATAGGTTATATGGAAATACTACATCATTGTATATGAAGGACTTGAACATCCGTAGTTTTGGTATCCACAGGGGTCCTGGAACAAATCCCCCACAGACACCAAGGGACAACTGTATGATAAAGAAGTCAAAAGGCTCACTGAAGGCAAAGATACTGTCTCATTTAGTTTTAATTACTCCAGAGCTTATCATAATACTTTGCACACAGAAATTTAAAAAACTATACTTTGACCTCTTTCATAGCTTGTACAAAAAATTAACTAAAAATGAATCACAGATTTAAATGTATAAGAAAAACTTCTAGGAGAAAAAAAAGGAGAAATTCTTCAGCATCTATTCAAAGAATTCCTAGAGCTGACACCAAAAGCATGATCCACAAAAGGAAAAACTGACAAACTGAACCTCAAAGAAATTGAAAACATTTGCTCTAAGAAAGACCATGTTTGTTTTTTTTGGGGGGGGGGGAGGGGATTGAACTTTGGAGATATCCCAACTTGGCTTTTATTCCCAGACCTACCACTTGAGCAAGTTTCTTTAACTTTCCAGTCTTCAGTAAGAAAGACCATGTTAAGAGGATGAAAAGACAAAGCTATAGACAAGGAGAAAATATTTGCAAACCACCCACCTGACAAAGGACTAGTATCTGGAATATACAAAGAACTCTTAAAACTCAAAAATAAAAGAACTAACAACCAAATTAGGAAATTAGCAAAGAACATGAAATATTTAAATATTTCACCAAAGACGATATTATAATGAAGAGGATGGCAAATAAGCACACAAAAAGATGTTTATCATCAGCAGCCATCAGGAAAACGCAAGATAAAACTACAATGTGATATCACTACACAGCTATTAAAAATGGCTAATATAAAAAATTGTGGCAACACCAAACGCTGGTGAAAATACAGAGAAACTGCGTTATTCATACATTCCCGATGGGAATGGCATGGCACAGCCATTCTGGAAAACAGTTTGGCAGTTTGCTACAAAGCTAACATGCAATTACCACAAAATCCAGCTAATGTACTCTTAAGCATTTATCCCAGAGAAATGAAAACTTATGTTTATATAAAAACCCATACCATGAATGAATGTTTACAGCGGATTTACTCGTAAGAGCCAAAAATTGGAAACATTCCAAATGTCCTTTAATAGGTGAATGGTCAAATAAACCGGTACATACATACCAATGGACTCTATTCAGCAATAAAAAGGAACAAAGTACTGATACAAGCAACTTGGATGCATTTCCAGGGAATTATGCTGAGTAAAACGAGTCAATTCCAAAAGGTTACACATTATCTGACACCATTTAAATAACACTCTTGAGGCATTTTATTTTTAACTGAGATACAATGAAAGGTTCATTCATGTTTTAGTGTGACCACGATGTCATTCTTTTAATGGTTGAATAACTCTATTACATGGATATAGTATATTTTGTTTATCTATTCTTCAACTGACAGACATTTGGGTTATTTCCACCTTTTGGCTCTTATGAATGCTGCTGCATAAATATTGATGTACAAGTTTTTGCACAGATATAAGATCAATTTTTAACCATTCTTCTTTTCTAATATACACATTTAAAGATACAAACTTTCTTTAAAGCACTATTTAAGCACCATATATTTTGGAATGCTGGTTTTTTAAAATTATCATTTGAAATATTTTTCTAATATCCATTATGATTTCTTCCTTTGTTCATTACTTATTTAGAAGTAGATTGTATAGTTAAAATATATTTAAGAATTTTGCAGGTATATTTTCATAACTGATTTCTAATTTAATTCCACTGCAGTCATAAAACATCTTTGGTATAATTTAAAACCTTGTAAATTTATTGAGACTTACTTTATGTCCTAGATGATCAATCTTGGTGAATATTCCACGTGTACTTGAATGGAATTTGTATTCTGCTGTTGTTGGGTGGAGTATTCTCATTGATGTTGTTGTTCAACACTATATCCTGTGGTTCTGACTACTTAATCTATATTGTTAAGGAGAATGGAGTGCTGAAATCTTCAACTCTGATTGTGGATTTGTCTATTTCTCCTTGGAGTATTCTCATTGATGTTGTTGTTCAACACTATATCCTGTGGTTCTGACTACTTAATCTATATTGTTAATGAGAATGGAGTGCTGAAATCTTGAACTCTGATTGTGGATTTGTCTATTTCTCCTTTCAGTTTTGCTTCATGTATTGTGAAACTTTGTTATTTAGGTTCATACACCTTTAGGACTACTGCATCCTATAGATGATTTACCCTATTATCATCACAAATTCCTCATCCTGAAGTTGACTTTGTCTCATATTAACATAGCCACTCCAACTTGTTTTTGATTAGTGTCTGCATGGTATATATCTTTCTCTACCCTTTTGCTTTTGAACTATCTATGTGTTCATATTTAAATTGTATTTATTATAGACAACATAATTGTATCATTGCTTGTTATGATGCAGTTTGTGAATTGCTTCCAGGTCTAACTTTTTATCCAGCTTGAAAATTCTGTTTAACCACATAAATGGTATAAACACTGTTTATATAATTACTATTTAATGTAATTATCAGTATGGTTGGATTTAAATCTATCTACTGCTTTGTCTCAAAATTATATTCTTCTCTATGTTAATCATTCTTTCACCTTCTGAAACTTACTTTTATTTTCCTTCTATACATTTCGGCTTGTTCTTCCTGGTATAATTCTTGTCGTACTTGTTCCAAATCTTCATGTTGCCGCAGCATTTCTTCCAATTTCTGAGTCAGCTATTAAATTTTTAAAAAACACAGATATTAATATGACTCAAATTCCATAACCAATATTTCAGAATTTCAACAATGTTAGAGAAGTGGTTATTTTAATACCGCGTTCTGAAGCTGCAGCCTTTTTTCCTCACTTTCTTGAACTTTGGCCATCCGATCTTCTTCTCTTTGCTGCTGCAAGTTGGCAAACTCTATGATTTTTCTGTTTTCTTCTTCCATCTCCTCACGTTTCTTTTTTCTCCAGAGAGCCTGCTCTTTCTGAAACTCTTCTATATACCTTCGAGTTGTATGCATTTTTTCTAACTTTTGTTGTCTTTCCCTAAAAAGCAGTAGCAGGTATAGTTTTATAGTAACAGAAATAACATCAAAAAATAAAAAAGTAACTCCTTTTTGTTAATAATAATGTAGGGAAAAACACCTTTCCTATTTAAAGTTTCTTCATTCACTCGTACAACAAACATTTTGAATGCCTATGTGCCACTACATATAATGCCAAGTATGAATTTTCTCTGGGTAAAATACTACTATGCCTCTCCTTAACTTCTTAATGAAGTTTTATGCATCTTATTGAAATGCTACAGAAAGGCTACAATCTGTTAACATAAGCCTTGTAGCACTCTACATTTAAGCTGTCTACCAGGGAAATTAATCAGAAAACATTTCCTCTGACCTATGATATGAGCATATTTAAGACAAACAAAGGTTTATATCCTTCAATCAATAAGCATTTATTAATTGTCAGATAATACATTATCATGCTAACAAAGATGAAGACGTGGTCTCAATTTATGTGATCATAGCTAACATTTATTGAGCATTTGCTATGTATTAGGCACAGTTCCAGGTGTTTTACCTTCTCACAACTGTAGATGAAAAATCTAAAGTAAATGTTTAGGCATGTAAGAAAGTTGGGATAAACTTACAGTTGATCTTCTTCATAGATTTTCCTAACAATTTCATCAATCATGAGTTTCTCTTTCAGCAACTGCTCATAAGCTTCCTGCTTTTTTTTTTCTTGTTCTTCAAGTTGTTTCTCCAAGTCAAGATAATACTGTGCTTTTACTTTGTTTCGTTTGTCTTCTGCAGCGTTCTCTTCCTTTATTACTCTTTCATGTTCTTCCATCATAGTTCTGGCTATTTCGGCATCACGTTTCTGTTATTAAAACAAAATTCATCTTTCCATGTTCATATCTGAGCATAATATGATAGAATATTCTAAACTGATATAACTGAATATTTTAAAGCCTGTTACATAAAATAGGTATTTCACTGGTTTAGGTAAAAAGCAAAAGTCAGTCATTGTTACATGAAGAGTTTGAATGATGGGTCAGACCCTAAAGAAGCATTCCTATTCCTTTAAGGAACTCTCTCTCAGGCATATCTGATAAGGATTATTAATAAATCCACACTTGAAAACTGGTAAATAAAACTATAAGTACTTTATTAATAACTTAATTTTAACTGCCAAAGAAGTAGTCATCTTTTTCTTATTTATTTGTAAGTTGATCCAGGCAATTTTCACAGTTTTTAGCTTCATTGTTCATTAGCTGCTATTTAGAGTAAAGATGGTACTATCTCCTTCTTAGAGGTCTGCTATTAAATGGCTCTGAGCAACTCTTAAGTTTCTCCTAGCCTAAATTTTCTTTCCTGCCATTGGCCCTTGAAGTTTCCCTTTTTTCATTTATTAAAGGCCCTTTGTAATTGCTTTAACTTAAAAAAGAGTCATATGTTACATTGCCTGTTTTCTGCAGTTTTTAATTCCCTCACTCAAGACCAGTCTCACTGAGTTAGATACAATCTTTCTTTTCTTTTGACCATTTTCAAAGCATTTAACAAAATAAATTTTAAATATATTGGGGTAATTTTTAAAATTATCCTTTTACTTTTATGATCACATCCTAAATGACAGAACGGTTAGCAGCATCAAATGTAAAGAAGAAACATATTAAAATATGAAGGCTAAATGTCATTCCTGACGTAAATGATGCCTTTAACGTATACCCTGCTAACGTGACTTGACCAAAATTTTTCTCTGCTTATCTTTTCTTTGCACATGTACTAGGTTCTTTATAAAAATTATGAGATAACAAAAATATTTATATGTAGATTACCACACACTCACAGAAATACAATGTTCTCATTTTACAGATAAGAAAACTAAAGCTTAGAGAGATGCAAGCAAAACTAGCTTCTATTAATACATATCCTGACACCTCATAGGTCCTAGGAATATTTGGCTTTAATTCTGTGGACCAATTTTTATTTAGAAAATAATAGCAATTCTTTTAGGAGTCAGATTAAAACATCTACAACTGCCTTGCATAACCTCAATCATCAGGATAATTAAAACTGCAAATCGGCCGGGCACGGTGGCTCACGCCTGTAATCCTAGCTCTCTGGGAGGCCGAGGCGGGCGGATTGTTTGAGCTCAGGAGTTCGAAACCAGCCTGAGCAAGAGCGAGACCCCGTTTCTACTAAAATTAGAAAGAAATTAATTGGACAACTAAATATATAGAAAAAATTAGCCGGGCATGGTGGCGCATGCCTGTAGTCCCAGCTACTAAGGAGGCTGAAGCAGAAGGATCACTTGAGCCCAGGAGTTTGAGGTTGCTGTGAGCTAGGCTGATGCCACGGCACTCACTCTAGCCAGGGCAACAGAGTGAGACTCTGTCTCAAAAAAAAAAAAAAACTGCAAACCACTGGACAAATAGGACATTGTTTGGCGTTTACTTTATCTTTAAAGGATGGAACTATATGGCTTAAGAAATAAAGTCTCTCCACCTTCTCCTGCCACTTGCCACACCTAAGGTTATCACTGCTAACAGCATGCTGCATAACCCTTCAGATATTTTCTATACTAACACAAATGTACACAAACATGACACACACACAAATGTGTCATTTATAGCCAGCATCTCTTCTTAATTGATGCCCATACTGCATTGCACTGGTTAAGTATTTTGAGATCATCCTTATAATTGTATGAGTGTGTGAACATATGTTTATGTTGATATATACAATACTTACATGTGTGTGTATATATTTATATACACACACATTCATACATAATTGGCCTTTCTTTTTGATAATGAGAACACAAGTGATAATGTGTACCCTTCTTTTAACTGTTAATAAGCACTATTTTATATTTATACTGTATAACACTACTGGTGAGTATGTCTGAGACTCCTTTGCCCAAGAGTAACTCTTGCCCTGAACTTGGTAGCACGTCAGGAGTTAGAAAAGGGGAAAAAAGAGAGAACCATAAGAAAAAGAGAAGGCTTTTATAAAATGGGGAAGTTTTCCTCCATAAAGTTATAAAATAGCCTGCTTTTTAAAACATTTAAAAATAAAAAAATTAATAACGTTCTAAAATATACTTATCATGCTAACAATTTATACTGTACTAGTTTGTCATAGCATAAATCAGTTAGAGACTACAAAGAATGCTAGGAGTTACTGTTCATTCTAAGCAGCAAACTGTTTCAAAGGCTCTAACATTAAACAGGTTCCAAATGAAATCATCCAAAATTTTCTATACCTTAAAGGTCTGACAAGGATACAAGTATCTGAGAAATCTAGCAGTGTAAATTCTTTATACAATATAACAATTTTTTAAAAACCGGCCTATTTTTGGTTTTCTAAATGAAGCTAAAAACATAAAGACCACAAACATGATTACCATTTGCTCATATTTAATGGCATCCTTTTCAGCAATCTGAGCTGCCCTTTCTTTATTCATATAAGCTGCTTTTAATTTCTTCTCCAATTCTCTGAGCTCAATGCTGTTAAAAAAAAAAAAAAAAGAAAAATTTAAATTTTAGGACCATAAGAGAATTAAGTCTCACAGAAAACTGACTATATTTTTAATTTTCTCAAAGACAGACTATAGCTGGTATTATTTTAGATCCACAGGAGAGATAAGCTAATTTATTACATTTAATGGATGCTTTAGGGCATTAGGGCTCAAATTTTCTGGTTGAGGAGGACTGCTCTCTTCTGTTACATTCATCTGTTTATCCTATGCCTATACAAAACTATCTCAACTATTGTAGATTATATTGTCTTTATATTTTAGAGAAGTCTCTAATTTTGGTTGTCTTCTTAAAGACTGTCTCAGCCATCTTGGTACTTTGTATTTCCATATATTACACATTGTTTAGAATCAGTTTGTCAAACTTCACAATAAACAAAACTGGCTGGGACTGCACTGAATTCATAAACCAATTTGGGGAGTATTGACATCTTTATGTTACTGAGTCTTCAATTCAATAAACACAGTATATCCTTCCAATTATTTAGGTTTTAAAAAAGTCTATCAATAATGGTTTGTATTTGTGCTTTATTCTGGTATAGTAGTTTTATATCTTTCATTAGTTTTTTTTATATTCTTATACAGATGATCATTTTTCAAATTTCATTTTCTAATTGTTACTGATTTATAGAAATATAATCTTTACATATTGACTTCATATTCAACACTTAAATTTACTTATTCTTATTTATCTGTAGATTCTTTTGGATCTTTTATATATACAATCATATCATCTGTGAATAATAAAAGTTTTATTACTTTATTGCCAATCCCAGCACCTTTCATTTCTTTTTCTTGCCTTATTGCACTGGTTAGTATGTCTAATACAATGATTAACAGAAATTGTTATAGTCCAGGCATCCCTATCATCTTCTCAATGTCAGAGGGAAAGTGTTTAACATTTTGCCATTAAGTATAATGTTGCTGTAAATTCCTTTTTATTCCTAATTTGCTAAACTTTTTTAAAAATTATCAAGTGATTGATTCATATCAACTGGCTTTTTGTACTCATATGATTCTGTTCATAGAATGAATTACATTTATTGATTTTTTAAAATGTTAAACCAATCTTACATTCCTAGAATAAGTTAAATTTGGTTGGGGTGTATTATCTTTCTTATATACTACTGGATTTTATATTGACTAATATAGCATTTCAGATTATATTAATAGCAGCTGAATGCATGAGAAAGATTAGTCTATAATTTTCTTATAATATCCTATTCAGGTACTGATCTGATTAAAATAAATTGGGAAGTGTTCTTTTTCTGCTCTGAAGAACTATGTAATATGTAAGATTGGTGTTAATTCTTCCTGAATATCTGATAAAATTCATGTAGCCCTATAGGTTTCTTCATACACAAGGTTTAAATTATAAATGTAATATCTTTAAAAGTTATAGGAACACTTAGGTTTCTATTGCTTCTTGTGCCAATCTGTTTGGTAAAAATGTGCTTTCTAGGAGTTTATCTATTTCATCTAAATCTTCAAATTTATTTGTATAAAACTGTTCACAATATCCTAATCTGAGCTATTAAATGTTTGTATAATTTATAGTAGTATCCCATTATCCATTTCTAAAATTGGTTATTAGTGCATTCGCTTTTATTCTTTATCATTCCTGCCAAGGGGTTATCAATTTTATTAGCATTTTTAAGGCACAATTCTTGGCTATGTTTATTCTCCTTTATGTTTATATTTTAACTCACTCATTTCAAGTGATCTTTATTATTGCCTTTCTCCTACGTTCTTTTTATAATCATTTCGGATGGGACTTTGCTGTTTGTTTTCCAATAATTCCAGATAGAGCCTTCTTTTCTGATACAATTAATTATTTCATATTAAAAACTGCCCTTGAGGAACAGCTTTAGCTACATTACACAAGTTTTGGGGGTTTTTAAATCCTATAACTTTTTTATTGTGGTAAAATATATATATAACAAACCATATTTAAGTATACAATTCAGTGGTGTTAATTACATTCACAATGTTCTGCAACCATCAACATTAAACTTTTTCATCGCCCCAAACAGAAATGCTGTACCCGTGAAGCAATAACTTCCCATTCCTTCCTCCCTAAACCCTGGTAATTTCTAATCTACTTTTTGTCTCTATAAATTTGCCTATTTCAGATGTTTCACATAAGTGGAATTATACAATATTTGTCCTTTTGTGTCTGGCTTACTTTTGTTAGCATGTTTTTAAAGTTCATTCATATTGTAGCATGTATCAGAACTTCATTCCTTTTTATAAAAGAATGATAGCCCATTGTATGTGCATACTCCCTTTTGTTTATCCACTCATCTGTTGATGAACACTCAGGTTGTTTCCACCTTTTGCCTATTGTAAATAATGCTGCACTGACAACTGGCATACGAGTATCCGTTTGAGTCCCAGTATTCAATTCTTTTGTATATATACCTAGGAGTAGAATTGCTGGGTCATACGGTAATTCCATGTTTTAACTATTTCCTACAGTGCCTGTATCATTTTACATTCCTACCAGCAATGTCTCAGAGCTCCAGTTTCTCCACTTTCTTGCAAACACTTGTTATTTTCCACTGTTTTTATTAAACTAGTCTATTAGGTGTGAAATGGTATCTTGTGGTTTTGATTTGCATTTCCCTAATGACAAATAATGGCAAGTTATCTTTTTGTGTTCTTACTTGCCCACTGCACATCTTCTTTGGAGAAATGTCTAAGTTTTTTGCCCATTTTTGAATTAGGTTGTTTTTTGTTGTTGTTGACTTGTAGGAGTTCTTTACATATTCTAGATTTTAAATCTTTATCAGATACAATTTGTTCTTCTGGCCTAAATGAATTCTGAGCTAGGTGAAACAAAGATGAGTGCCCTCTGTCAGTCCTTCAGGTAGCCCCAAGGTAGGTTAGAACAGACATACATAACAATTTGTGAATAAGGTCTTCTTTGCTCCTCCTGAACCAGGGATCAGGGTCCCATATCGGGAATAGGGGCTGCTGGCCTCTAAGCTGGGAGGGGATGGGGCAAGGGCAAGTGAAAACACCACAATGCTTTCCTACTATTTTTAGCTTGCCTTTTCCTTGATTCAGCATTTGCTTGGTTGCTGTAAATCTTTTGGTGTTGTCTAGAATTCTTAAAAATTGGTTCTGACAGTTTCTGTTTGTTTTCTGATGTTTCTGGTGGGGGAAATGGGGAGGGGGACATATAGGAGTTTGGAGCTGCCTACTCTGCTATTTTGCTAATGTCAGTCTAATCCTACAACTTTCACTGTTGGTATTTTTACTGTCATTCAGTTAAAAGTACTTTTGATTACAGACCCCAACTTAACAATTTTTCAGCTTTATAAAGGTGCAAAAGCCTTATGCATTTAATACATTCCTCGACTTACAACGGGATTATGTCCCAATTAAATTTAAAATACTGTAAATTGACTTACAATATTCTCAGCTTATAATGGGCTTTTCAGGATGTCACTCCATCATAAGTCAAGGAGCATCTGTACTTTTTAACCCAAGGGTTATTTAGAAGTACATTTTTAAATATTTAAGCATACAAAGATTGTCTAATTTTTTTGTTGTTGTTTGTTGTTACTGACATCTAGTTTAATTCCACTAGAGCCAGAGAACATACTATGTGTGAATTAAATCCTCTGAAAATCTGTTGACACTTTTATTCTGACACAACATATTTTCTATTTTAGCAAATGGTTCAAATATGTTTACTGTAACTACAAATATAATTGGGTTTAAATTTACAAGCTTAGTATCTTCTTTCTATTTGTCCTCCCTGTTCTATGTTCTCTTTTCTCCCCTTTTTGCTTCTGTGTTGGGGGACCCCAACGCCACTCCCAGCTTAGGACTTAGAAGGACTCTCACTAGAAGGACTTATGGGACTCAGCATACAGTCATATTCGTGGCTATGATTTACTACAATGAAAGAATACAGAGCAAAATTGGCAAAGGAAAAAGGTACATAAGCTAAAATATGCAGGAAACCAAGTGCAAGCTTCCAACAATCCTCTTCCAGTGAAGTCACACAGGGTATGCTATTATGGCCTGTGTGAAATGTGTCTACTAGGGAAGCTCATTATACATTCAGTGCCCAGGGTTTTTACTGGGGGCTAGTCACTTAGGCATCCTCTGCCTAGCATGTACCAATATCCCAGACTCCCAGAAGGAAAACAGGTGTTCAGCACAAACTATACTGTTTTCACAGTTTAAGCTCAGTGAGTCACTCTTAGCAGTTAAGGTGGTGGGAAGCTTCTCAAAATCTAAGTTTCCCAATGTCAGCCAAAGACTAAACTTGCAAGCAAGACTTTATAAGGATACCAGTCTAAAGTCTGCTATGTTATCTCTTTTCTACACAGCCTCTTTGGGAGTCATCATTTCCTATTATCACATTTTCTCTTCTATTAATTTGTCAGTTGTATACATTCTTTTCAAAATTTTTATTATAGAGATTAGCATGCTTCGTTTCAAGTCTAATAAATTTGTCCATTATTATTTACTAGAAAATAAAAGATTCTTGACTTTAACTTCATTTATTTACTTCTTATCTCACTTTTGTTATTTTTTTAACAATTTACACATTTTAAACTCCAAAAGACATTTTAAGAAATGTTTTAAATATTTAGATTTCACCTAAATTTGCTACACATTTACCTCCTGCAGTTCTGAAATTAAGCTTGGGATCAATTTTCATCTTCTACCTAAGGAAAACTGTTAGTATTTCCTTTAGTGCAGGATTGTTGGTGATCAATCTTCTCTTTTTGTCTGAAAATGTTATTTTATGCTTATTTTTTAACCATCTCATCTATTTCATTTTATGCTTATTTTTTATCCGTCTCATCTATTTTGTTTTATGAATTACCAGCTTATCAGTCCAAAACATAACTGTATTGGCATCAGCAAGGAAATGATGATAGCATTAGTAGGGAAAACTGTCTCTATCTCTTCTTTGAGCTGGTTTTTGCAGAATTTAAATACAAAATATATATGGGGTACTTGTTTTTGCTTTCATAAAGCTATGTGTTAACTATGTAATAAATCTATTTAATTAATTGTGCAATTAATTATAATTATTGATTAAAGGATTCCTAAAAATAAGCAGTGAGTTTCCTAACTCCAGTTAAACACAACGCAAAAATTAAATTGTCTTTTAAGTATTTTCTTGGATTATAAAATCATGTGTTCAGAAATCAATTAACAAAAAGAATCTTATGATTTCTGAACTGAAATATTTTCAAAATAAACTTCAAGGATTTTAAAAATTTACCATGCATTTTAAAAATCAATTTCTCTTAAAGAACCTAATCTTAATATAGGTGATTTTGAATTACTTAGGATACATTTTAAGCACCACAGGAAACAGTTCCCTGAATTTAGACATGCCAATTTGCAGATAAATACACCGATTTGAAAAATGGTCCATTTCTGCATGTCAGTGAAAATTTTAGCATGGCTTATGCATAAAACAAAAAAAACTCTTAGCAATTTTGACACTGCTGGGAGGCATCATTCTCAATCTGAAAGAGTACTAAACTGAATAACTTTTGTCTTAAGTTTGAAGAAAATTTTCACAAGGTATAGAATTTTGAATGAGCTGTAATTTTCCTTTGGTTCTTTAAATCTATTATCTTCTAGTTTCCACTGTTTCTATTCAAAATTCAGTAATAGTTCTTATTGTTGCTTCTTTGAAAGTAATAGTCTGTTTTGTCTGGCTGCTTTTATTATTTTCTATATTGTCAGATTCCAAAAGTTTGACTACAATGAGTACTAGGTATAGTTTTCATTGTTTACTTTGTGGCTTTATGTCTTTTATCATTTTTGCAAAATTCTTGGCCAGTATCTCATCAAATAATACTTTTGTATCATTCTTTTCCACTTCTGCTACCAGGAATAAAATTGTACATCTGTTAGAACTTTCCACCATAGTCCATATCTCAAATTTTCAGTTCTCCTCTGTATATTTCTATCGTTTTATCTCTCCATGTTTTATTCCTATTTTTCACCAACCTGTTCACAAATTTTCCATTCATCTATGTCTAATAAAACTAATTAAATTCTGTATTATTGAAGTAAAACACTCACTAAAGTGCACAAATCTTAAGTGTACAGCTTGTAGAATGCTATTGAACACACTGCCATCAGCCAAGCTTATCAGCCAAGCTCTGCTTCACTTAACTTTCAGCCATACTTTTGGAATCAGCAGAAACCTCCACGGGAAATTCAGCTACGAATGCCAGGCTCACCATTCTGGTTTCCTTCCTCTCCCAGATTTTAATTTTACACCTTCTCTAGACCTTCTTTTCTGAGAGGGAACATTTCTCTGAATTACCTAGTCTGCTATTGCTAGAAGTGAAAAGCTCCTCTATTTAACTCTTATTATCAGTGAATTAGACAAAGACATGATGAAATATTTATTCCATCTTCAGATGACATACAACTATGAGTGACAGCTAATGATGACTGGAGAATTAGGGTCTCCAAAAAGATTTAATAGTTTGTGACTAGAACAACAGGCAGATTTAGCAGTAGTTCGATATTTTTTTCTAAAGATCAGTAATCTCTTAGAGAATCTGATTAAAGTTGTGGAGCCAGAAAAATACACATGGGTACATTTGCCAAATATATAATTTAACAAGGTTCAAAACCCCTGAAGCTCATCTATGGTACCTATAATATTCTACAGACATCCTGCTCAATTAAGATGTAACAACTATCAAAGTAAATTTCCCATATATTAAACTACACAAGTACAGAATGGGCATTTACTTGGCCTGAGTTTTGATGAACAGCGTGACACAGCTGCCCCTGTAATTTGATCTTAGGCAAGATTAAGAAACATTTTAGAACAAAGTGATTAATAGTACTACCATTTGGAGTACTTAGCAGTCTACCCTGGAGTATTACACATAATTTTGGGGACAATATTTTGTTAAGGAACACTAATACTCTAAACTATATCTATAGAAGAAACTAGGATAGTGAATAAACTTGAAGCCACGATGCGTAAGAAACAACTGAAGGAACTAGAGATATTTAACTCACAGAAGAAAACATTTAGTGGGTTCATGTATATGAAAGGACATCCTAAAGAAGATAGATGTATGGAAATTATAGGGGAATTAATTTTAAAATAGGGGGGAAAAGATTATTTAACATTAAGGCTAAATGAAAAAATAAGTTCCTATGGCATTTACTAGAGGTGTTGAAACACAGGCTGAAGAGCTACCTTCCAGAAATACCGTAGGAAATTTATGTAGGGGTGTAAAATTAAATTAGTTATCACTAAGGTTTCTATTAAGACTAGGATTCCACAAATCTATTTTTTTATAAGAGGTCATTTAAAAGTTTACGTTTAAAGAGCAGAGGAATTGATATTTGTCACTGTAAATATTAATACTTCTTTGAATACAACTTCATTTCTCAAATGAGTATTTATAGGACTTAAAGCAATAAGTATTTCCAGGCAAAATATTACCCAAGTGCAATGATATAAACAAAGAAATTTCACTTTCAGGTGCTAAGAATTACATAGAAGTTTAAAGATAAAAACTAAATAAAGTTATAGAAACCAAGATACCTGTTTTCTCTTACTTGTTGCCTCATCTTTTCATCCTTTAGATTTTCGTGTTTTAGTTTTGCCAATTCCATAGCCAGTTTTTCTTCTTGTTCAAGCTGGAGTTCTCGCAATCTCTTGTTTTCTTCTGCCTGAATAGAAAAGATTAACTTTAGTTATTTGTCTTCCAGAATCAGATTTTTTTCCAACAAGGCTGAATTTATTTTATAACAGAAAACCATTATAAATGCCTTAAGACCAATGATCAACTATTCATGTTTTATTTTAAAATATAAACTATTGTTTCAATAATACTTTTTCAAACATTTTATCATGGAAAATTTCAAATATCAACGATAGTAAAAAGAATATTAAAATATACCTTTAGGTACCCATCACCCATCTTTTAAAAAAATTATCAACATTCTGCCAATCTTTTTACTCTACCTTCCATTCCACTTTTTTCCTTGTTCTCTTTTTACTAGAGTATTTTAAAACAAATTCTAGACATGTCATTACCATGTAAATAATTCAGTATGAATCTCAACCTGATCAGAATTTTTTATATAACAATCATGCTATTAACGTATCTAATTAGCAATAACTTCTTAGCAACATGTAAATACCCTGTTCATAATTAAGTTTCCCCAATGTCTCAAAGATGCTTTTTTTAGTTGGTTTGTTCAAATCAAAATTCAAACAAGTTTCACATATTGCATCTAGTTATTATTTATCTTAAGTCTCTTTATATTCTATCATGGTCACCTCCAACTCCCGCTATACACACATTTTTTTTTCCCAAGCCATTTATATGTTGTAGAAATTAGAACATACGTCTCATAGAATGTTCCACATTCTGCATTTGACTGATTGCTTCCCCAGGATATAACTTAACTTGTTTTCTGTTTATATTTCCTGTAAAATGGTAGAAAAGATCTAAAGGCTTGATTAAATTCTGTATTTAAGAATATGAAAAGATGTTCAACATCATTAGCCATCAGGAAATGCAAATTAAAGGTACAACGAGATATCACTACATACCTACTGGATTGGCTAAAATAAAAAACAATGATGATACCAGATGCTGGTGAGAAACACTCTTATATTGTTGAGTAGGAATGTAAAATGTTACAGCCACTCTAGAAATCAGTTTGGTAGTTTGTTATAAAGCTAACATGCAATTACTATACAACTCAACAATTGTACTCTTAAGGATTTATCCCAGGGAAATGAAAATTTATGTTTATTTAAAAACACCCAAATGTTTACAGCAAATTTATTCATAATAGCAACACTGTAAATACTCCAAACATGCTTCATCATGTGTATAGTCAAATAAACTGTGACACATCTATACTATGGAATACTACTTAGCAATAAAAAGGAATGAAGCAATAAAAAATAATATAAAGCTGGCCATTAGTGTTTCATGCCTGTAATCCCAGCACTTTGTGAGGCTGAGGCAGGAGGATTGCTTGAGGCCAGGAGTTTGAGACCAGCCTGGACAACATAGGGAGACCTCCTCTCTACAAAAAAATTTTAAAAATTAGCCAGGCATGGTGGTGCACACCTGTAGTCCCAGCTATTCAGGAGGCTGATGCAGGAGGACTGCTTGAGCCCAAGGGTTCAGGGCTGCAGTGAGCTACAATCACACCATTGCTCTCCAGCCTGGGCAACAGAGCAAGACCCTGTCTCAAAAAAAAAAAAAAGAATACGAGCAACAACTTGGATAAATCTCCAGGAATTATGCTCAGTGAAAAAAGTCAATCTCAAAAGGTTACACATTGTTTGATGTCATTTATATAACATTCTTGGAAGATGTTCTTTTTTAAAAATTGAAATATAATTCACGTAGTATAAAATTCATCTTTCACAACTCACAACAGTGATTTTGCATATTCACAATGTTGTGGAACCACCACTACTATGTAGTTCTAGAACTTTAAAAAAATACTTTATTTTTTGCAGTTTTGGGTTCACAGCAAAATTGAGCAGACAGTGCAGAGTTCCCATATATCCATAGTTTCCACACATGCACAGCCTCTCCAATTATTAGCCTCCCCCACTATCAACCTTCCCCATTAGAGTGGTACATTGTTACAATCAATAAGCCTACATTTACATTACATGAACCTACACATCATTATCACTCAAAATTCATAGTTTACATTAGGGTTCACTCTTGGTGTTATACATTCTATTTGTTTTGACAAATGCATAATGACATATATCTACCATAATAGTATCATACAGATACTATCCTAAAAATCCTTTGTGCTCTGTTGACTCAACTCTTCCACCCCTAATCTCTGAGAACTACTGATCTTTACTATTTCCATAGTTTTGCCTTTCCTAGACTATCACATAGTTGGAATTATACAGAATGTAGCCATTTTGGCCTGGTTTCTTTCACTTAGTAATATGCATTTAAGGTTCCTCCACATTTTTTCATGGCTTGATAGCTTATTTCATTTTAGCAGTGAATGACAAACATTGTCTGGATGGACCACAGTTTATTTATCAATTCACCTACTGAAGGACATCTTGGTTGCTTCCAAGTTTTGGCATTTATGAATAAAGCTGACATATATTATATGTTTTTATATATGCTACAGATATATATAGATGATTGTGTGTACGCTATATAGAGAAGATCTGTGTGCATGTTTTTGTGTGGACATAAAATTTCAACATCCCAGAATACTTTTTTCACCCCAAAAGAAACCTATACCTATACAAAAGAAACCTATGTTAGTAGTAACTCACCATCCTCTCACCTTTACCCCTAGACCCTGACACCCACAAATCTACTTTCTGTCTCTATGGATTTACCTATTCTTGATATTTCATGTAAATGAAATAATACAATATGTGGCCTTTTGTATATGGCTTCTTTTACTTAGCATCATGTTTTCAAGGCTCATCCATGTTGTAGCATGTATCAGTAATTCATTCCTTTCTATAGCTATATAATGTTCCATTGCATAGATATAACACATTTTCTACTTTTGGGGGATCATGAATAATGCTGCTATGGACATTTGTGTATAAGTTTTTATATATAGACATGTTTTTAATTCTTTGGGATATATGCTTAGGAGCAGAACTGCTGAGTAATATAGGAACTATTATGTTTAAATTTTTGAGGAACTATCAAAATGTTCTCCACAGTCACTACACCATCTTACATTTCCACCAGCAATGTACAAGGGTTTTTTTTTTACATTCACCACATCTTTGCCAACATTTATTTTTTGTTTTTGTTTTATTTTTTATTATAGCAATCCTCATGGGTCTGACGTGGTATCTCATTGTGGTTTTGATTTGCATTCCCTTAATAATTAATGATGTTGAACATCTTTTTTGTGTTCATTGCTCATTTATATATCTTCTTTGGAGAAATGGTTATTGAAATCCTTTGGGCTTTTTTTTTTTTGCCTTTTTATTGTTGACTTGTATATATAACATCTTTGAAATGACAAAATTATAGAAATAAAGAAGAGATTAGTGGTTACTTGGCTTAGGGATGGGTAGAGATAGACAGGAAAGAGATGGATATACTTATAGAACTATTCTATGTCTTGACTGTGGTGTCTTATGTATAAGCCTACCCATGTGACAAATTGTATAGAACTAAACACACATATGCAAGCACAAAATGGGAAATCTAAACAAGATTGGTAAACTGAATCACTGTCAATATTTTGTTTAAGATACCATACTATAGTTTTGCAAGATGTTGCCATTAGGAGGCAACAGGTACAGGGTATATAGAATCACTGTGCATTATTTCTTACAACTGCATATGAATCTATACTTATCTCAAGAAAATTTTTAATTAAAAAAAGCAAGTGCTGGTGAGTACACAAAGCAACTGGAATTCTCATACATTACTTGAGGAAAAGCAAAATAGTCCAGTAACTTTAGAAAATGGTTCGATAGTTTCTTACAAAATGAAACATACCACTACCACATGACTCTGCCATCCTACTCCCAGATATCTACCCAAGGGGAATGAAAATTCATGTCCACACATGAGTCTGTATTCAAATGTTTATGGCAGCTTTAGTCATAATCACCAAAAACTGGAAACAACCCTGATTTTCTTCAGCCTGTGAATGGATAAACAAACTGGTACAACCATACAATGGAATACTACTATACTATTCCACAATTAAAAGTATCAATTCATGCAACAACATGGAATCCTAAGCTTGTTTTGCTAAATAAAAGAAACCAGACCCAAAAGGCAACATATTGTATAATTCAATTTATACAACATTGTGGAAAAGGCAAAACTATTGGAATGAAAAGAAATAAATGGTTTCCAGGGATTGGGACAGGGAGGGGTTGACTATAAAGGGGCAGCATGAGGGGATTTGGGCTTGACAGAATTGTTTTGCATGACAGTGTGATGGCAGAAAATGTATGCATTTGTCAAAAATCCATAAAACTATACATCACAAGGAATACATTTTTTTTTTTCCGAGATAGGGTTTGGCTCTGTTGCCCAGGCTAGACTGCAGTAACACGATCATAGCTCGCTGTAACCTCAAACTCCTGGGCTCAAGCAATCCTCTTGCCTCAGCCTCCCAGGTAGCTAGGACTACAGGTGTGCGCCACTGTGTCCAGCTAATTTTGTAATTTTTTATACAGACAAGGTCTTGCTATATTGCCCAGGGTGATCTCGAACTCTTGGCCTTGAGTGATCCTCCTGCCTCAGCCTCCCAAAGTGCTGGGATTACACGTGTGAGCCACCACACCCTGCCCAGAATGCATTCTATAATATGCAAATTTAAGAAGTAATCAACGAGTACATCCGCACCCTGCACTACTACTCAGCAGTAAAAAGGAATGAACTATTGATACACACAACATGGATGAATCTCCAAGGCATTTTGCTGAGTGAAAAAAGCCTATTCAGATCACAAGACATGATTCCACATATGTATGGAATCACACACATGAGTACACTTATAAAACATTCTTGAAATGACAGAATTATAGAGATGAGAAAAAATTAGTGATTGCCAGACAGAATGGAGGTTGAAAAGAGTGGGTATTACTAAAATGGGGTAGTTAGTATGAGTAAGATCTTAGTGGTAATGGAACAGTTTGGTATCTTGATTGAGGTGGTGGTTACACAAATCTACACATGATAAAATAACAGATGTATACACACCTATTGTTCCAATGTCATTTTTCAGGGTTTGATAGTGTACTACAGTTATGTAAGATACAACTGTTGGGAAAAACTGGCCAATGGTAGTTAACCTCCCCATACCATCTTTGTAACCTCCTGAGAATCTATAATTTTTTCAACATTAAAACCTTTTGACAGTAAAAAGGGGCACCTTTAATTCAGATCTCAGTTTCTATATATTATTCTCCAATACAAGGAACCAAGTCTCCTTGGAGAAATGGTTGATTCCAAAGTAAGGAAAGAACAAGCTGAGTCCAGAACATCTTATGGTGCCAGAGCAAGTAAACACTTAAAAAAAAAAAAAAAAAAAAAAGGTGGGAGACTGTCAGAAGGGCACAGAAGAAAAACAACCTGAGTTTCCAATGGCCAAAACTGGAACAACCTGAACAACGTAATAAATAACAATAGTACTGGATTATAACCAAAAGAAAAAAAAAAATCAAGGAATCCATATTGATTATATAAATAAATAATAAATATGTGGGAGAAGGGACAACTCTTACAGAAGAATTCCAATTAATAAATGAAGAAGGAATGAGACAAATAGAAAATTACCATTAGAACTCCATAGTAATAATTGCTAAAAGCAACATTCACCAATAAATGCTAATATTAGTGGAGTAAAATTTAAACAGAAACAGGATATTCACATAGTCTCAAAGTACCTCCTTCAATGTATTTAGTAATTACAAAGTGAAAAACAGTAACTTTACAGAGGAAAATCCTGGTAGATACCCCCTTAACTAGTGTTCAAGGTTAGTATCAAGGATAACATACTGAGATTATCTCTCCCCTGATAAGATGCATGAAAAGAGCATTAAGGTCTCCAATCAGTTAACTTTGGGTTAGTCAGGAAAGGAGATTCTCTTGGGTGAGCCTAACCTAATCAGGTGAGCCTTAAAAATGACAAGGAGCACCTAAAATCACTGCCCAGGGAACCTTAGGGAAGCAAACTGCCATGTGGCAGGGAATGTTAGTGACCCACGGGAGATGAGGGCCTCAGTCCTGCAACTGTAAGAAAATTAATTCTGCTGACAACTTAAATAAATTTAGAAGAGCACCTGAACTTCAAATGAGAATGCATGTCAGCCAATGCCTTGATTTCAGCCTGGTGAGACCAAGCAGAGAACCCAGCTACACCACACCTAGATTTCTGACGTGCAGAAACTGTGAGATAATAAATGCATGTTGTTTTAAGCTGCTTGCTGTAGTGATTTGTTATGCAGCAATAGAAAACTATTAATACCACAACAACTGAACTGTACTCTTCAAAACTGTCAAGGTCATGAAAGGGAAAAATGAAAAACTCTCACAGACCAAAAGAGACAAAGATTGGAGGAGACTAAGGAGACAACGACAACTAAATGCAATTTGTAATCCTGAAACAACAAAAAGACATTAGTGGAAAAATTGATGAAAACTAAATAAATCCCAAAGTTTAGTTAACAGTATTATATCAAACCTAATTTCACTTTGATAACTTTTCCATGATTTTCACCTTTCTATGTAAGATGTTAAGAAGTCAGGTGAAGGGTATACAAGAATCCTCTACACTATCTTTACAACTCTCCTATAAATCTAAACTTATTTCAAAATAAAAAGTTAAACATACTTCTAAGTTTTGTCCACTGAAAAGACCAGGAAGCAATGATAACCCAAGAATAAAGAGTATACCTAGTACCCAAGTTGTCTCTAGATATTATTTCCACTAAATCACAATAGGGCTCCTCACCACAATGGCTGATTCCAGGTGTATGGCAAGATATATACTAGATGAGCCTTGTATTAGTCAGGATTCTCCAGAGAAAGTGATTATGGAGGTAGGCAAGCCCGAAGATCTGCAGGGTGAGTTGGCAAACTAAAGAGCCAATATGGTTTAGTTCCAGTCTGAATCCAAACGCCAAGAACCAGTAGAACTGATGGTGGGGCTCCTATCCAAAGGCCAGCAGGCTCAAGACCCAGGAAAAGCCAACATTTCAGTTTGAGTACAAAGACAGGAAAAACGCAGATGTTTCAATTTAAAGGCAGTCAGGCAGGAAGAATTGTCTCTTATTGAAGGAAAGGTCACCTTTTTGTTCTATCCAGGCCTTCAACTGATAGGATGAGGCTCATCCACATTATGAGGGCAATCTGCTTTACTCAGTCTACTGATTTAAATGCTAATCTCATCCAAAAACACTCTCACAGAAACAACCAGAATGTTTTCTCAAATAACTAGGCACCCCATGGCCCAGTCAAGTTGACATATCAAACCATCACAAGCCTGGAACAATTTGTTTTAACAGAAAGCAAGGAAGGTATCAAAAATTAAGGAAGTCTTGTCAAAAGGGCACAAAAGCAATATAAAAAGTCATCCAGTGGCCAAGAATAGGATAATTTTGTGCATCAAAAAGAAAATTAATTTAAACACATGAAGATCCATAATGATATTTTTAAAAAGAGGAAAAAGTCAAAAACTAAAGAAAATTTAAAAAACCACAACAAAGGCAGACACCAATGGAAGTAAGCAGGGTACACTCTGTACTCTGAAAATTATCTATTTATCTCCCTTTCCCGTAAGGACAATAATCCTAGTTGATGAGGAAAAGTTCTTTACACAGGAATTTCAGCTAATTAAATGTGAAAGGAATAATGGAATTAAAAAATCAGTGTTTTGCAACCCCTAATGAAAGAAAAGATTCTTTTGTGAAATCACAGATGAAAATTTGAAGGAAACCTTTACAGTGGAGGAACTAGGCTGTCTCACTAAACCCAATGATCAACACTGGCATCATTCAAAGTGAAACAACCAGACCTCATGTGTCCCCTGATGTGACACAACGACAAGGACAGCATCACCTATGGAGTATTCTTTCCAAAAAAAATTGGACCTCAATCTAATCACATTATTTAGGGTTAAGTCCCATTTACAGGAAATATAAGGGATGGGGGAACAAATTAAAGGAACCATAAAAAAGCAAACAGATAAATTCAGAATGTGGGATATTCTATAAAACAACTGGTCTACTTTCTTTTAACAAGTTAAAAACATGAAGTCAGAAAAACAAAGGATGAAGTAGGGGTTGTTTTACATTGACATTTAACAGACATAATCAAATATACTGTATAAACTTTGTTTGGATCCCAGTTAAAACAAACCAATTATAAAAGATTTCTGACACAACCACAGAAACTTGTTTATGGCATGGGTGAGGTAATGGCATTATGGTACTCCTTGTAAGAAAACATCCATATTTTACTAGATGCATACTGAAGTATGCAGGACAGAGTTAGTAGGATATTTGGGATTTTCTTTTTTTTTTTTTTTTGAGACAGAGTCTCACTCTATTGCCCTGGCTAGAGTGAGTGCCGTGGCATCAGCCTAGCTCACAGCAACCTCAATTTCCTGGACTCAAGCGATCCTACTGCCTCAGCCTCCCGAGTAGCTGGGACTACAGGCATGAGCCACCATGCCCAGCTAATTTTTTCTATATATTTTTA